TCTCAAGCGCAAGTGCTTCACTCTAGCCATGGTGTCATAGGTAGGCGGAGATACGTGTTTGCTGTGCTTTCTTTTATCGGTATCACTGAAGTGGGCAACGATTGGAGTGCGGCATGACAATGCAGCTGGCTGTAGAAATGTTCTCGACGACCCGTATCCTCACTAGTAGTCTCAGCTGGCACCACGGTTAGTCAACATTATGGGGTTCCTTAGGGCTGTCGTGTGTGTCAGTCTACTGTTTAACGGCCTGCATGGGGCTGCACCAAATAGCGACTGCGTAGACCCCTGTGTGAAGGCAAGTGCCCATATCCTAAACTTTTAATTTGCTGTTCTGTTGGAAAATTGTATAGGCTGATTGCAAGAAACTACCCGCCCCGTGCATGTGGGCACATATCAGTCAAATGATCACATACGGCTCGCAGATTTTTAAGAAAATTATGTCTTAAATCCTTCTTGTCATCGATGGTTTCTTTGTTGGCTGAGCGATTAGCGAACCCCATAACTCCACTGACCGGAAGAGTTTCATTCTGTTTGTCTGTCCGTCTGTACGCTCGATAACTCGAGAAAGAATTGAGATAGCGACCTGGGATTTTCAGGGTCGTTTTGTCTCATAAAAAGACAGATCGAGTTCGAAGATGAGCACTCTAGCTCAAAAATTGAATTTAAAAAAAATCAATAACCACGGGTAACAAAATATATTTTTTTCAAATATTTTTGAATTGGTCTCCTTAAGGGTAACTCGTGAAAGTAAAATTTCATGGGCGAAAATTTCGTCCGTTTTGCTTTATCTTGTACCGTTTGGGTGCTAGGGGGCATTTCTTGTCGAAAACGGGATGAAAAAGACCAAATGGTCTATTAAATCGTAATAAAGACTTCGTGACACAAAATTGTTAGGGGAGTAATTCTTAAACCATGCATTAGGGGTCGAACCACACCCTTTTCCAGGCTTAGGGGTCCTTAGATTATTTAGTATCACTAAAACCTTGATATTTACACTAGCTATATGTACGCCAGACCACGTCTCGCGTAACAGGCTTCGCGATATCTCACGAAACACTGTTACGCTGCGACGCGCCTGCCGCACATATAGCTAGGCCTGCGGCGCTGACACCCGAGACGAGCTAATGGGAGGGTATAGGAGAACAGGGCCATCCGGGCCTGAGATTTGACATACTGAAACCATTTGTAGAGGTCTCATTACACTAAGATAAGGGATATGAAACTTCTGCTGTTCGGTAACGGGGTTTTCATTAAAAGTTCGAATTTTGACAGATTGTTATGTAAAAATCAATGTTTTAGTGATACTAGATAATCTAGGGACCCTTAAACCCAAAAGAGGGTATGGTTCGACCCTTAATGTGTGGTTGAAGAATTACTCCCTTCATAATTCTGTGACATGAAGCCTATTTTACGATATAATAGACCATTTTGTCTTTTTCACGTTGTTTTCGCCAAAAAATGACCCATAGCGCCAAAACGGTACGAGATAGAGCAAAATGGACGAAATTATTACCCAAAGGGTTCTTCTTTCCCGGTTCACCGCTTCGGAGCCCATAAAAAAATATTAAAAAAAAAATTCAACCTTTGGTTTTTGACTTTTTAAAAAGTCAATTTTTGAGCTAGAGTGCTCACCTTCGAACTCGATCTGTCTTTTTATGATACAAAACGACCCTGAAATTCCCAGATTGATATCTAAATTCTTTCTCGAGTTATCGTGCGTACAGACGGACAAACAAACAAACAAACAGAATGGAACTTTTCCGGTCAGTGAAGTAATGGGCTTCGCTAATCGCTCAGCCAATAACAATCTGTCAAAAGTAGAACCTTTATCGAACAGCAGAAGTTTCATGTCCCTAATTTTAGAGTTATAAGTCCCCGTCAAATACTGTCAGTATGTCAAATGTTGGTGCCGGAAGGCCCTGTTCCCGCATACCATCCCATTAACTCGTCTCGGGTGTCAGCACCGCAGGCCTAGCTATATGTGCGCCAGGCGCGTCGCAGCGTAACAGTGTTTCGTGAGATATCGCGAAGCCTGTTACGCGAGACGTGGTCTGGCGTACATTTAGCTAGTCTTATCCTTTAATCTACCTCTTGTCTGAGCGATAGCGAAGCCTATTACTCCAGTGATGACCAAAAAGTTTGGCGTCTGTGTGTGTGTGTGTCTGCCTGTGAACACGATAACTCGAGAACGAATTGAGCTAGCGACCTTGAATTTTCAGGGTCGGTTTGTGCCATAAAAAGACAGATCAAGTTCAAAGAAGAGCACAGGTTCCACAAATGACGTTTTTTAAAAATATTTTTTTACAGTTTCGTAAGGGGTAACTCATCTAAGTAGGAACCTTAGGCGAAAATTTCGTCCGTTTGGCTCTATCTCTAACCGTTTAGGCGCCAGAGGGAGTTTTTGACGAAAATAAGCGAAAAAATGTACAACCCTGCATGCTTAGACGAAGTGATGGGAAGTTGACAGAGCTCTGCAAAATCGCCTCGTCGACCGACCGAGCTCGACCGGCAGGCGGTCGGCACCGACCGCGTGCAGGTGAGAGGTGAGGAGAGGAGCTCCCGCGATGTCTCCCCGCCTCACCTCTCACCTGCACGCGGTCGGTGCCGACCGCCTGCCGGTCAGCTCGGTCGGTCGGTGAGGGGACTTTTGCAGAGCTCTGGAAGTTGACGGGCTGAAGGCCCGTATCTTTGTGTACATTGTTGCACCACCCGACTCGGGTGTCAGCGCCGCAGGCCTAGGTCGATGTATGCCAGGCGCGTCGCAGCGTTACAGTGTTTCGTGAGACATCGCGAAGCCCGTTACGCGAGACGTGGTCTGGCGCACATCTACCTAGTTTTATTAATATGTCTACGAAAGCCTGCTCTGATCGTCTGCACCCTTTTTGAGTTCCTGTGTTGAGTTTACCCGTTGAGTTATATTGGCGCTAAACGCGGGTTGGGATGGAGAGGGCGGAATGGACGTTCTTCAAAACATATCTTTACAAAATTACATTCTCATAATAAAGGTGCTCGTTTAGTTCAATCAAGTTATAGTAAAAAACATGCAATGACATGTAAAATTATCTCCGGTCAACTGCAACCTTCAACCATAGCAGCAACTTTATAACTCAGCGGTAAATTTGATTGTGTCAAAGTTTCTAGACTTTTTGCATAATGAAGCATGGTCTGTAAATGTAGTTGTAAATGCATTTACATCCTGTAAAAGGTTTAGCCTAAGTGTCAGAAATAACTCCTAGGGACGTAAAGTTATGCTTTCTTATTTTAGCGCGCGGGAGCAGGCATAAAGAACTAACTAGTCTATGACAGAGGTGACAACTAGTGATTAAGCCGAGGCTGTCTCGAGTGCTCCTGACCCTCTTTGCCAAGACGTGCCGAAAACTGGCGGCCGGGGGAGCCCGCAGACGGCTGTCTTCCGGGGCTTATAGGCGAGGGTGGAGGCCTGAGAGAAGGCACCCAGGCCCCAGGCTCCCAGTTGTTTTTGAGATGGCTTTAAACTGGCTCCAAAACAGATCTAAAGTGTCTATGATAAAGCATATGTTTGGCTCCAATGCGGCACCGGAATGTCTATTTTAGGCCTTAAGTTCCCGTTTGCGGAGCCATTCGCGATAGCTCCGCCTTAGCTATACCCAAGCTGGGCATTGGTCCCACCGAGCCTCCGCGATGTGTTGAGAATGGCTACGGCGGAGCCTTCCTAAAGCCATCCTGAATCCGAATTTTTCTGTACGGGTGCAATCGCGACGAAAAAATTTCGTCTAACACAGAGCCTGGCGTCGCGGCATAGCCTCCATGAAAGCACTTGAGCCTTAAACTGTAGTCCTATATTCAGTGGTCTGACGGGGTCAAGCCTAATCAGCTCGATTAGGTTTTCAGGTTTAAAACCCTGTCCCATCACTAGTCTGGTACACAAGTGGCTAGCGAGCCCACGAACATCAGGAGCGCCGGATGGTGTGTTGACCTTCTTTGCCACAGCAGCTTTATCCATTGGCTTGGTGAGCCGCTGTCCTCTCCAGCTAAAGGTGATTGGGTTGTGTGGAGTAGCCGGAGCGATGGTATTGGCCAACCTCATCTCAGGTCTATTGAGTGCGGGCCCCGCGGCCCCTGCCACCACGGGCGGCACCACGCCTGAAGAAACAATGTAGGTGTTAGGTGCAGGCTGGTGTTCGACATGCAGTCCCCCGAAATTCGTTGTCCCGCCAAGACGGCCCAGCAACGAAGTGCCAAGCACTGCTTCGGGCGGCATGGTATAGATGGCAGCTTCTACTGTAACGCACCTCAAGTGAAGAGTGGCTGATCCAAACCGGCCACCCAGAGCTACAGTATGCTCCGGCGACTCAGGTGCCTGCTGCCCGATCTCATGGTCCCTGGCGGCTGCTTCCTCGGGGTGATTGCTGCGATCACCGTATTCGACAGACAGACAACTTTTATTTCCCGAACTATGGGCTCCTTTTGGCAGTTTACAAGAGTTTACGCTTTTCTTTCAGATTCCAGATGGTCTTCTTATTGGAGCTGGTCTGTCTGCTTCTCAATCTGAGGGTGCCTGGGATACAGATGGTAAGTATTTCTGTGTTTGACTGTCAGCGCGATAACTCGAGAACGAATAGGGTATTCAGCTGCAAGCTAACCGGAACCCAAAGAAGAAAAGCATGACTGCTCGATCTGCTTCCCTCTGCGCGCTCACTGGCTGACCGGCATGACAAGGTCATCGTTGACCAATCAGCGTTTAGGAGGAAACAGATCGATCGGGCAGTCGTGCTTTTCTTCTTGAGGTTCCGGTTGGCTTGAAGCGGAATACCCTATAGAGCTAGCGAGGGGGAAAACACCTATGTACTACCTCGTACACGGGGCCTGTACTAATTCCGTAATAACGTGTACTAACGCCGTACTATCATGTACTAACGCGTAATAGCGCGTACTAACGCTGTACTAACATGTACTAACTCGTACTAACGTGTACTTAACCCGTACTAATGCGTCCTGGAGCATCACGTCGCATCACGTCAGCGGCGAGGCTGCGCTTAAAGAGATGGAGTTCTTCGCGATTCTTTGCGAAAATCTCTCGAGCCTGGAGTAGCGACGAGTAGCAACAAAGGGAGGCAAGGTGGGCGGGGGTGGGCGCCTGCTGTGAGCTGGGTACGCCAACCCCCGAAGCCGGGGTTTCGGGACGAGACAGTGGTGGCACCTTCTGCTACTGCCCTCGCTCTTCTTTCTTTACCCTTCTCTTCAAGGTCATTTTGCTTGGTCTTCTATTGCTTTTTTCGAGCGTTTCGCGTTGTTTCGCGTTAAAATTTCTCCAGAAATCGATTCAGAATTCAATTTTGGACTTAATAAGTGCTAGTACAGCGCTGATCAAGGGTTATGGCGAACTTTTTCTCGTTTCGGTGCACTGTGGTGTGAGGGATTCGTGTGGGATGATCCCAAACTCCTCCCAAAAGAAAATGGGAGCTGCCTTGTTGACTGGGAGGTAAGTGGTTCTGCGGAGAGTGGCTAGTAGATGAGCGGGTTTTTGAAAGGGGTGGTCAGCAGTATTCTTATTGGGTATTGGTACCTTTTTAAAATTGCTGTGCATTTGCTTGTATGAACACAGGAAAAGCAGAAAGCCTCATGGACCGAATGACTCACAAAGTATTCAACGAAACCATAGACGTTGCTGCAGACCACTACCATCGCTTCAAAGAAGACCTCGCTTATGCGAAAGAACTGAACGTAACTTTAAAATTCCATTCTATCTGCTCTATCTGCTTTCCAGGGCCGTTCATTTTATAACTTTTCTTCTGCAGTTTACGTCGCATCGTTTTTCGATCTCATGGTCACGCGTTCTCCCGTCAGGAGATGCTGCAAACCCGAATGAAAAAGGGGTAGATTTCTACAAGAAACTAATAAAGGAAATCAAGGACAACGGTATGGAGCCTTTTGTAAGTATAAGCACTAAAGTGTAAATATACTATGTGTTGCGAAAGAACCCGACCCGCCCGAGTCGCTATACGTCGCGTGGCAGACAGGTGGACGCAGGCGGCGAGGGCTGCCCCGTTGCTGCCGTGCTCGGTGCGGGGGCGCGCGGGGAGTGCGGTAAGTGGGACAGCAGGCGGACGGCGGGCCGCTTACGGTAAAAAGAATGTCTTGAAATTCCGGGAAATTTCTGGGATTTCAAGGTCAGGTCGGTCGGGTGGATGATTTCAAGATTGGCCCATGAAATCCCAGACTCTGCCTCATTCGCTAAATGTAAACACACCGGCACGCAAAGGAAATCGAAACAATCGCTTGTCCTTCTTTGTCTGATATTTGGTTTTCACACTGTACCAGTGTCTGCGAAAGCAGTCGGTGGGCTGGCAGTAGTTCACGACGAAAAATAAAGTACCAGAAGCGGAATACGCCCGTCACAATTCATGCTATCATAAGCTTTTCGCTGTATTCAAAGATGAAGTGGACGCAGTCAACCCACATAGGATATGCTATAGCACAGGCCTCTCAAACACGCCGCTGTGCTGGTCCACGGGCGAGGTAGGCCGCCCTCCACACAGGCTGACTGGGCGGCCTCATGCAGCTGAGATCCAGCGGCTCCCTCTCGGTCACTTTGGCGCGCAATCCGTCTGCTAGCGTAGGCGAGTGGTGACGGACGGGCGGCGCTGCGATGCTTCCCATGGTGGCTCGGCGCGAGCCGCGCGCCCGGCTCGGCGAGCCACCGGTGGCTCGAGAGCCGCGCGTTTGAGAGGCCTGCAATAGCACACTTAATGCATCCGCGCGCACCGTTACAAATATAGATGGAGAACCACGACTGAGTCGGATTCTATTAGTACTGAAGGAACCGGCCACGCAAAGACAGCGCCCGAAGTTGTTCCTCAAAGATGGCAACTTCAATTGGCTTCAAACTGCGCACGAAGCATCAGTATAAATCCAGTCGTATCGAGTTTAGTTTAGAAGTTTGATATAAGATGTTTGAAATAAGCGATCGTTTAGTTTGAATTCGTAGTTTGATGGTAGTACCACGGCAATCGAGGGCAGGGGGAACGCAAGTGGCTTCTGCGCTCACCTGAGGACTTTAATACCTTCTAAGCAGTGATTAAAATGTCAGATAGTCAAACCGAGTGTTTTAGTTTTAGAGTTGCTGAACTTAGCGTGCGAAGTTTTGCGAGTGTCCGATGAGAAGGGATGAAAGTGATATTTGGAATGGTTTACGTGTTTACTCACGTAAGTTGGAGGGGGGGGGGGGTAGTGGTTTGGGAGAAGTGTGCAACGGTAACTATTATTTCGGGTTCATCTTGATGAGAGAAAACGGAAATGTTTTATGCCCAAAGATGATCGGAATCGAAATGGCAGAGTTCTGTTCAAATGTTCAATAAAGTGTTCATTCACCCCTAGCGGCCAAACGGTGCGACGGAGGTCAATTTTGACGGCAGTTTTCGCTAGAGGGACATCCCGAAGGATTCGAGGGACGTACCTCGCCGAGACGATGAAGACGCACCCGTCAAATTCCCAAATTGGAGTTATTCCCCTCCAAATTGACAATTTGGTCGTTTTGGCACACTTTTACTCCTTTGGGTTCTATTAACTTTGCCATTTCGACTCTGATCGGCTCTGAGCATAAGACATTTCCTTTTTAATGTTGCTAAACGGATCCAAATCTGGGATTGCACTTAAAATTTGATAACTTTTAGCAAATTGCAATTTTAGAAATTTTTCGTTGGAACACAAAATAATGGTGTTCAGTCGTAAAACGACTAGAAGTCATTTTATCTTACAAAAAACTCATCTGAAAAGGTTTATTACACTCACAACTAATTTTCTCAATAGCAATATACTTGCAAGGGACCGAACAATATTAGAGCCATAGTCGCAACTTATTGTAGGATAAGCCGTTCAAAATCAGAACGAGATTTATAATTCTCTTACATTGACTTGATTTTTCTAGAGCCATATTATTTCTAATGACACTGAAATAAAATGGTGAGAGAATTTAAATTACATTGTATGATAAGATATATTACTGAACTTTAAATTATTAAACTAAATGACTCGTGATCATTAAAACACCTCAGAGAGATCAGATGAAAATGATTCAAACAATGGCAAATTAAAGTTTTCAATATGGGAGGAGTTTCAACACATTAAAATGAATATTATTTGATATAATTT